CTCGGTTCAGGCCGTCGTAATTTCGATCCCCGTTTGAATTGGACTTCGACCTGCTTAACTGTATAGTAGATTAAAATTGTAATAAATATCCATAAAGTCTAAAAGTTTTTAACTTTTTTTAAATAAAATTTCCTTATGTTTGAAGTAACAAAACAACAAGTTATTATTTTCCTACTTTGAAATTCCCATGGGAACAGTTCCGCGAGGGCGTTACTGGCACAAATAGCTACCTAATTTACAAATAGAGACAATAGTAAAGGTCAGAGTTAGTAGGCCAAGACAATATCATTGCGACTCGCTTTATAGGAACAGACAGCAATGAGAATTACATCTTTATTTATGTGATGTGAACGTTTGACCCCTGTTTAGGCGCGTTTCACAACATGTAATAAGCTTTATGCTTTAGGTAATAGAGGTTATTTCAGATTAGATTTATGTTTGTGATATTTAGGACATATTGTGATCGGTTTGGCATCGTTCAATAGCCAATATGCGTGTATAAAATGAATAGTTTACGATTATTATGATAGGAACGACTCGCTTTGGTCAACCAAATTGTGACATAAATAAAATTTGGAGTTAAACAGTCATATGTTTTATATTTACTGCATACAGACATTATTTAACGGCCTCGGTGGTCTAGCGATTTAGCACACCGCTTTACGATGGTGGAGGGTTCGATTCCTCGCACGGCACAAACATTTGTATTCATAAGTATGATTGTTTGTATCGGTCTGGGTGTTTTCTATATATGTTACTAGCTACTCGCCCCGGCTTCGCATGGGTGTACATGTATTATACATATAAACCTTCCTCTTGAATCACTCTATCTATTAATAAAAACCGCATCAAAATCCGTTGCGTAGTTTTAAAGATTTAAGCATACATAGGGACGGACAGACAGCCCAGAGACAAATTGACAAAGTTTCATACATACTTTCATCACCTATTTTATCCCCTTGGGGGTAGAATTAATCAAAATCCTTTCTTAGCGGATGCCTACGTCATAACATCTACTTGCATGCCAAATTTCAGCCCGATCCGTCCAGTGGTTTGGACTGTGCGTTGATAGACCACTATATCAGTCAGCCTTTGAGTTATATCTATTTAGATTACGATTTAATTTACAATTTGGCGTTTTTATAATTATCTACAACGAATACATCCACGCAACTTGTTGAGATTCACACAATATTTTTACAATATATTTATCTATCTAGCTGCTTGTAGGGACTGGTCTGCTCTTATCACTACGACTGATTTAATCTTATTGTATTTTTATATTTGAGCCTAAATAAATTAGTGCTGGTTGGTAGTTTGTATTCACACGTTTCGACTTGTAAAATGTGAACTTACAAGGATTGTTTAAAAGAGCAACACACAAGATTCTTGCTTATTCTTCTTGTGATGAGACAGCTTTCCGAATAAGCGATAGATTTAAAAATATGTTGACTATTCAAAAGTGCTTAAATTAAGTTTATTTGAATAAATGATTATCTATTCTATTATATCTATATACGAAGTTGAGACTTCGTAACATGACATGAAAATAAGCTGAAGTTTACCAACTTATATGCGTATCAAATATCAACCGGGCCCAACACTGGAGTTGCGGACGAACTTTGTAAAATATGTCCCTTGTAGTAGTCGTGACAAATGGGATGCTTTGTCGATAGTTCGGTGAAGCAGGGCCGGCTTCAGTTCCGAGGGTGAGGTGTTCAATTAACATTACTTGCGTATTTAAATATATTGTTAGACTAATGCTGTGCAATTTTCAATGGAATTGTACAGCGGTGATTGGCGGTATTGTGTATGTAATTTGAGTCTGTACGTACTATTAACTGTAAGTAAATTGTCATACTAACAAAATGGGCAAGTAAGTAATGAATATATTATTGTTATTATATGTACAGTCGAACGAGATAACATTTCTTTGTTTTAGTTCTTAAGTGTTCTACTAGATGGCGTTGTTTAGTTTTATACATTTTTCTACATCTCGCTAGTAAGATTTCTTTTTGAGTAGTCTTTTGATAATTATTAATAATAAACCAATAAACCAATAAACCAATCCGATCGATCCCCCGTCTAATTCAAAACGGGCATTGATATTACGACGGCATGAGCCGAGGTTCGAACCCCCTAATGGTGGTGGATATCCCTTACCATTTAGGGGTATGAAAAATAGATAGTAGCCGATTCTCAGAACTACTGAATATGCATATAAAATTTCATAAAAATCGATCAAGCCGTTTGGGAGGAGTATGGTAACTAATATTGTGACACGAGAATTTTATATATAAGACTAGCTGTCCCGGTAAACGTTGTTTTGCCTTAAAATAAAAAAAAATTAGCGGTGGACTACCCCTAACATTTAGGGGGATGAAAAATAGATGTTGGCCGATTCTCAGACCTACACAATACGCTCACAAATTTTCATGAGAATCGGTCAAGCCGTTTCGGAGGAGTATGGGAACGAAAACTGTGACACGAGAATTTTATATATGAGATAAAAGGGAAAAAGTATATCCTTATTTAAAAAAATCGCTCCATCCCGTACCTATAGCCCAAAGGTTCACATGACGCCAGAAGCATTTCTGTGTTGGACTGCTCAAGAGTCCTTTGAGGCAGATATGACCCGGGGCTACGATCATAACCTCTATCTACAATGTTTACCGAACTCTTTTATAATATTATTCGCAACCGCCTGCAAGTCAAAGACAAAGGAAATAAAGACATACCTACCAAACTCGATTCCCTACTTTGAATACTTTAGCCACTGACGCAACTGAGCCAGTTACAATATTATCGACATTTGGTATACTATCAACGCGAAAGTTCATGAGAATTGATGGATGGATGTTTGTGACTCTTTCACGCAAAAACTACTGAACGAATTTTGATGAAACTTTACAATAATATAGCTTATACATCAGAATAATATGTAGGCTATAATTTAAAGAGATATTATGTAAATTGGGCGAAATATAGTCATAAATATCAAGTAAATGTGATGCAGACGGCCAGAAGCGGGTCAGCTATTTAGTAAGATTATCAACGCAAAAGTTTGTAAGTACCTATAGATGGTTGAAGAGATGTTTGTTACTCTTTCACGCAAAAACTACTGAACGGATTTTGATGAAACTTTACAATAATATAGCATATACGTCAAAATAACACATAGGCTATAAATTTCAAGCTAGTAGGCTATAATTTAAAAAGTAATATTTTTTTTCTGTTATCTTGTTTCTAAGTTATATGTAAATTGGGCGAAATCTAAATATATATAACTCAAAGATGGCTGACGTAGTGATCTATCAACGCACAGTCCAAACCACTGGACGGATCGAGCTGAAATTTGGCATGCAGGTAGATGTTATGACGTAGGCATCCTCTAAGAAAGAATTTTGATAAATTCCACCCCTAAGGGGATAAAATTGGTGATGAGTTTGTATGAAACTTTGTCAATTTTAAACCGATCGGGCTGAGACTTTGCATGCATAAAGCTACTATGACGTAAACATCCCCTAAGAAAGAATTTTGATAAATTCCACTCCTAAGGGGATAAAATAGGGGATGAAATTTTGTATGAAACGTTGTCAATTTTAAACTGATCGGATTGAGACTTTGCATGTATAAAGCTACTATGACATAGGCATCTTCCACCCCTGAGGCGATAAATTAACGCGAGCGAAGCCGCGGGCAGAAGCTAGTATAATGATAATTGTCAAGTAAGCGTATTGCAGACGTAGTTGCGCGCGTCAGTTAGTTTATAATCTTATCTTAATAACATTGTATAAATTTGTCAAGTCCATTTCTGGTAAGCTGATAAATATTTAAAAAAAATTATATCTCTCTTCTGTTTACAATATTGTTAGAATATAGATAGATATATAGATAGAATATACTTTATTTGCAACATACAGTAAAGAAGAATCACAAACAATATAACGAAGGACACATGTATCGTTACAATAAGGCGGCCTTATTACTAAAAGCAATCTTTTCAAACCAACCTTAACCTATTGTTTTAATATATTTCGCGCCCTCATCGCCCCTGAACCCGTCCCTGTTATAATTCAAATAGCGAGATGTTGTAGCTTTGAAAAACTACCATTCAGTTGCGGCCGGAACTTTTTCACTGTCCAATAAAACGGGTTTACGTTTGTCACCACTACTTTATATATCCATATAAAAGTCGAATATCGTAAAAAAAAGTATTTTATAAGCCTCATAATACGATTACAATAGCTATATTTTTACACTAGCTGTGCTCGCGGTTTCACTCGCGTTAAATTCCAATAGAAATAATCTTTATTCAAATAAACTCATTACAAGCACTTTTGAATAGTCATATTTTGATTCTACCACTCATTCGGAATGCAGATTCGTCACAAGAAGAATGAGCAAGAAACTTGTGTGTTGCTCTTTTTAATAGATGTTTTTTTTTATTTAAATAATTACAGTGTAACGAACTCCTTGATAGGTTTTTATACTATTTTTAAATTTTATAATAATATTCTTTGACATATTCTTTATTGTTACTTTCTATTATATATCGCTGTCATAGTAGTCGCATTTTATTTAATCTCCGTTTTTTCCTCATTAAAACCCTCAGCACCTCTCACTCATCAGATACATTTGATACCTCCGCTTCATACAGTATACAACATATATATACATATACAACATATATAAATTAAATAACGAAGGGAATCTCGTATTCTTTTCAAATAATTATTGATGTTTTGTACATAAATAATTACTGTAATTATATCAAGTAAGAGGCATGCGATAATTAACATACAAATCACTACGCACTCATATACTCAATACTCTATATAAAATATTGCCTACGTGATAGCTATATAACTGTAAAGTTCCCTAAAGTAATATTAATATTAATTGACTGATCATATTATCTGTATTCACTAATTGTAGCCACTGGCTTTGCTCGTTTGAATTATGATTAAATATATCTTAAAATAAAGTTACAAACATACCTGAACGTGTCTGTCTACTAATGTAGGATCTGTAACAAACAAAACACGTATTTATTACAAGGTATTACGACATGAAATCACAAAATTGTTTTTAATTGATAATACAGTAGCCTGTCTTATTCTGATATAAGCTATATTACTGCAAAGTTTCATCAAAATCTGTTCAATAGTTTTTGTGTGAAAGAGTAACAAACATTCATACTTACAAACTATGGCGTTTATAATATTATTAATATATACGTATAATTAGTAAAAATCACCGGATCTTACCACGTTTTATATTTATTTGCTGAGTTCCCAATATTTCGGCAGTGTTTCAACCACCATGATCACGGGTAAACTGAAGATACAGCGGGTAGATGGTGAGTAAAATCTTTTTATGGTCAGACATATGCGTCTACCTTCACACGTCTTCGTTTGTTGCTACTACTGGAACTCGCTCGATATTCATCTCGGCAAACTGTACTCACAGTATCTTTACGTACATTTAATCCCATCAAAAACATAAATGTGAAATGATAGCCGAGTTTAATATTATGATAATATATGCCTTGATTGTTGACTTCAACGACAAAAGAGATGAGATCTAAATGGGTGCCAAGTTCAATGGTCTGTCCTGAAATGTATTTATAACAATATAAAATATCATTTCTTCTTATAACTTAGGATAATATACTGTAGCCTAAGGTCTAACTTGGCCAGTTCTCATATACCAATTATTACTTTCGATTGCTAGTTACTATTAATATTAAAATAGGAACCGACAAGTAACATGTTTAGAACTTGCGAAGGCTACAGTATATTTCGTATATGAAAACTAGCCAAGTTAGACCTTAGGCTACAGTATATTATCCTAAGTTATAAGAAGAAATGATATTTTATATTGTTATAAATACATTTCAGGACAGACCATTGAACTTGGCACCCATTTAGATCTCATCTCTTTTGTCGTAGAAGTCAACAATCAAGGCATATATCATAATATTAAACTCGGCTATCATTTCACATTTATGTTTTTGATGGGATATCATTACTTTTTGTACATAAATTATACGAGGTACGTATTTATAACTAAATTAATACCAAATTATTTTTGATAAATTACTGTATTTTCGTATATTTACGGGGTATAATTGTCTTTTTTTTGTGTTATTTTCTATATTTTCTTGTAACTTTTAAATGTTGAAGTCCAAAGCCAATTCAGTATCAGGAATTTTTGGGCAAATCGGGGCGGTATAACGTCCACAGATGGTTGTACTCTACAATAGAGCTCTCGTGACTTGGATCTAAATTGTTAAGACGTACCCCATCTAAGGTTTTAACTCTGGAGAGTCCAACGTAAACCTGCCCTTTATTAAATATGGAGGAGCCTATGTTGAGAAGAGGACTGCCAAAACTAAGGCCTTGTGATTTGTAGATAGTAATAGCATATGTTAAGCAAATACGGAATTGTTCTCTTTCAACATATACATTATTTAATATCTGAAACTTCGTATTGACACGTTATAGTTCGTAAAGACGATTATGTAACAAATTGACTGTTATCTATTGAATTCTCAAGAAAACAATTTGTTACCAATGAGTTCTCATTCTCGAGTTAACTATACATTCCTACTTATAACTATACTAAAATTGTTATTAATTTTTGGTTTAAACTATTGTCTATACCATACGTATTTACTAAAATAATGTAATAATAATATAACCACAAATATATAAGTATAATTTAAGAAAGCTATAAATTTCGTAGCATAAATCGCAACCTTATAGGTTAGATATCGAGAAACAAAACATTGAGACATATGAGGGCGGCTGCCATTCGCTCGGACAGGTTCGCGTCAACGTTTTATCGCACCGCTCCCACACGGCGCCGCCGCGGCGCCCTATACCGAAATGTCTATTATTTAATAATTATTTATAAAAATAATGATTTTACAATATCGATGTGCGCTAAATATTGAAATAATAATTAATACCAAATCTCAGTTAATAACATAATAAATACGAAATTCGACTATACTCCTAGTTATAAGTACGAGTATATTTTAGACAGAATCTAAATTATAGCAACTAGTGTTTATCGCTCAATGCAATATTTGAAGTTTGCTAGTTATCGACACTGATGTGAAGGGGTCAACGTAAATTGGTAATGATCGACGTTTTCATACAATATTACTTTCCGTCCAGTACAAGATGACATTTTTCGCCAGGGATCAATGTCAATTGGTGGCTATCGACGTTTTCATAGAATTTTAGTATTCGTCCAGTATAAGTTGAAATATAATCAATTAAAGTGAAAAATTGTAGTAAAATGATAACAATTTACCAGTTTCAGATTTTTTCCTTTATATTCACCTAATTACCTATCTGCATGCCAAATTTGAACTTCCTAGGTCATCTGGAAGTGGGTTATAATTTTGATCTATAGTTGATCAGTGATAAAAATGACGATTTTTGGACATTAATATCTAAATAACCGTTTGAGATATGTTTATGAAATTTGGAACACATATTTATCTCGCAAGTCTCAATATATGAACCAAATTTGACAGGTTTGTGTGATAGAGTTTTTGAGTTATGAGGGGGTCAAAAGTGGCTCCAAATGGTTCGTGTAAATATACACACGGTGCTGCAAGCCAGTTTACTTGAAACTCGGCTTGACACGCTGCCGCGTGTCTAGATACACTTTTCGATCGCGTTTTTTGTTTTTATTTAATTAAACGGAAAATATCGAAATATCGGGAACTCAGCAAATAAATATAAAACGTGGTAAGATCCCGTGATTTTTACTAATTATACGTATATATTAATAATATTATAAACGCCATAGTTTGTAAGTATGAATGTTTGTTACTCTTTCACACAAAAACTACTGAACAGATTTTGATGAAACTTTGCAGTAATATAGCTTATATCAGAATAAGACATAGGCTACTGTTTAAAACAGTATTATTGAGATAGTATAAAATGAAGTTATTTCCGCTGTCTGTTCGCTTAGATCTTTTAAACTACGCAACGGATTTTAATTCAGTTTTGGGCAATAGTTACAGTGATTCTAGAGGTTGGTTTATATATATAATAAATGTACACCTGTGCGAAGCCGGGGTGGGTAGTTTTGGTACTTTTATATAGAGTTGAATATGCAATAAAAGAAAAGCAACAAGAAGTATCTTATATATAAAATTCTCGTGTCACAGTTTTCGTTCCCATACTCCTCCGAAACGGCTTGACCGATTCTCATGAAATTTTGTGAGCGTATTGAGTAGGTCTGAGAATCGGCCAACATCTGTTTTTCATCCCCCTAAATGTTAGGGGTAGTCCACCCCTAAATATTTTTTTTAGACAAAAGTTTTTGTTTCTATTTTTTTATGATACAACATACAAAAATACATACAATCCTAAATTTTCACCCTTCTGTCATCAACCCCCATTTTTTTATAGCGTTATTAATTCATATGGCAAAACAACGTCTGCCGGGACAGCTAGTATAAATATAATAAACGTATACTTAATTAATAACAAAACACATAATGGCATAATCCCGTGTTATACATAATTTTATATACAACTAGCTAGTCGCCCTAACTTTGCCCGGATGTACATGTGTTATACATAGAAACCTTTCTCTTGAATCACTCTATCTATTAAAAAAAACTGCTACAAAATCCGTTGCGTAGTTTTAAAGATTTAAGCACACATAGGGACGGACAGATAGCGACACCGACTTTGTTTTATACTATGTAATGATTATGATTCCTGTTTGATACTTCGTTCTGTTGTCAATAGTCTTTCTGAATATATTTCGTTTTACCTATACACAAATAAAATGTCAGATCTAGACACGCGGAGGCGTGACAAAGCCAAGTTCAAGTAAGAGATCTGGCGAGCAGCACCGTGTGTACGAATTATACTATAGCCTTCGCAAGTTCTAAACCTGTTACTTGTTGGTTCCTATTTTATTATAAGTAGTAACTAGACATAGCAAGTGTTGTAACTGAAGAAAAGTTTTATGTTCTATTGTATTTGAATTTATAGTTCTTTTATATTAAATTCTTGTTTTTATTTTGATACTTCAATTCCTTCATTCTATTCCTAATTGTCAGTAGTCTATATTAATATATTTTCTCCGTTTACCTAGTCTTTTTTCTTATTACTACAACAATAAGTAATATAATATATAAATAATTGGTATATGAGAACTAGCCAAATCAGACATTAGGCTACAATATATTATACTAAGTTATAAGGTAGAAATGACATTTTATAGTGTTATAAATAAATTTCAGGACTGACCATTGAACTTGGCATATATAAATATATCTCACTTCTTTTGCTGTTGAAGACAACAATCAAGGCATATATCAGAATATTGAACTTGGCTATCATTTCACATTTATGTTTTTGATGGGATACATAATATTGGTAGCAACAGGAACTATGTAACTAAAAAAAATCAACAAAAAAAACTAAGAAGAAATTAACTGATCCAAAGAATGTTTAATAACGCTCCTCGTTTAAATAATACCAAGCAAATTAACTGAACGCTACAACAAAATGGAACAGAACGGCAGCCGGTGTCGTGTCTCGCGACTAATTGGACGCGCGCCTGTCTGTCTATCTGTCTCTCTGTCTGTCCCATCCAACAACCGTGTCCATTCTGACGTGTCTAATAACGGTCGGTGTTTATTGAGATTTTTGTTAAGACAGATTTAATTTTCCCTTTATAGTTACATCGGATTTAATAAACATACGGCTGGCCTGATGTCCCTATGTATGCTTAAAACTAGGCAACGGATTTTGAAGCGGTTGTTTTTAATAGAGAGAGTGATTCTAGAGGAAGGTTTATACATATAACTAGGTTTTGCCCGCGGCTTCGCTCGCGTTAATTTATCCCCTTAGGGGTGGAATTCATTAAAATCCTTTCTTAGGGGATGCCTACGTCATAGTAGCTTTATGCATGCTAAGTCTCAGCCCGATTGGTTTAAAATTGACAAAGTTTCATACAAACTTTCATCCCCTATTTTATTCC